TTTTTGTTGGTTCATCATGGCTATGATGGTGCACACTTTGAGCACCTTCAGATTGTGCAACAGCAGCATGCAGGATTCTCAGAAGGTAGCCCCAAGGAGCTCCTGCAGAGTCCCTGGATTGCTTCTTGGCTCCCTTCAGGTTTGAACCCTGGAGGTAGGAAATCATTCCTCTGACTGGTTTCCCTCACTCCTTTTCAGGATGTTTGCACTGCGCTGCTGATCACTGCCTACGCATCCCTGTCCTGGAAGGACACCTTGTCCTGCCAAAGAACCACAACACAGCTTTGCTGGCCACTGCTCAAACAGGTACCTCTGGGAGGATGAAGGGATTAGTTCTGGCAGGGCTGGGAGAGGAAGCTCTGAATGTAGTGAGAAGTGTGCCTCCATCACCCCTGGGTACTTTCTCCCTCAGAAAAACCAAGCTGCTGCAGAAAGGCAGTCATGTAGCGATATCCTGCTTCCACGCTGACAGTTTTTCTTTCTCAGGTGCTTCCAGGAAACCTCCTGCCCGATGCCGTGTCCTGGTTTTTCACAAGTGTGCTGAAGGGTTTGCAAACACATGGGCAGCACGATGGCTGCATGGCAGCTCTTGTCCACCTGGCTTTCCAGATCTACGAGGCCTTGGTGAGAAACTGCTCTTTGTCTGGATGCAAGGTTGGCTGGGGAGTGGTGGAAAACTAATCCTATGCCTGCTTGAGTAGGGGGCAGGGGAGCTAATGGCCCTCCGAGGAGGGCAGGGCTGCTCCTATATCAGAGATGTGTTAACTGCACTTCTCCATGCAGCGCCCTCGTTACGCTGAGCTGAAGGCAGTGATGGACCAGATCCCAGACATCCAGAGAGACTCTTTGGAGCAGTTTGATTCCAAGCTTCTCAACCCAACACTGCAGAAGGTGGCAGACAAGCGTCGGAAGGATCATTTCAAGCGCCTCATCGCAGGTTGCATTGGGGTAGGTGATATCTTGGAGGAAAATGAACCAGTTTCGTTTCATGCCTATACCCTGCAGAAGTGACAGGCAGCCAGTCTACCTGCCTGCCCAGCCGCCCCCTTCCTAGCCAGGAAGCTGTTGCAGCACATTCTCACTGTTTGTTCTGCCTCTCTTCAACCTGGAGTTATAGTGAGGATGGCAGCACAGACTGAGCAGCCCCTCCTGTGGGAATGGGGTGTTCAAATGTTTGAACAAAGCTGCTAGGTACACTGCTGCTGGTACACTGAGTTAAAAGCTGGTTACCCCAGTGCCCTGGCACTTGAGAAGGACCAGGCCTGAGATTCCCCAGAATGCAGGTGTGGGATCTGGGGCTAGGAATTGCTCAGAATCTAGGGTCTGCCTCTGATCTGCAAGCAGGTTGCCCCTGGGCTGAGTGGGGCTATGAAGTAATGACTGATGTCTGCCTGTCTGTTCTCTGCAGAAGCCCCTTGGGGAGCAGTTCCGCAAGGAGGTTCATATCCGGAACCTCCCATCTCTCTTCAAAAAGGTGAAGCCATCATTGGAGGTGGATGTGCTAGAAAATGAGAATGGAGAGGGCCTCACTGGTCTCTTTGAGCCCTGAGCTGCAGGGATGCTGCAACCATCTCCTCCCTTACCTTATATTTTGTCTCTCCTCATAGTAAGCACATTAGATTCTTGTCATTGCCTCCACAAACATTCATTGGAATAGAGCCCCTTATGGGTCCTGTCCCATTCTCCTCCCTACACTGGAATGGGGCCTACAGTGGCATTTGAACCAGTCTATTAAGCTTTCCTGATTCCTTCCCCTCCTCTCTACTGGACAAGCATCTGTAGACCTCTGCTTCTCTGCAAGGTGGGAGCTGAGCCCATAGACTCCATTAGGTAAAGCCTGGTCATCCTGTCGCCTTGGGTCACTCTTGCTCCATTTCTTCATCCCTTGGGGTTTAGGATTAATGCAAAAGGCAGAGTAGCGTGCCATGTGAAAAGGGGCTACCTTAATCTTCCTCTGGGTGCTAGTAGCCGGGCTTTGTAGGGAACACATCAGACACTCCTGTCGTGCCCATCAGCACTTGTCCCTAGTGGACTGTTCTGATGAATCCGTTTCCCTCCAGGATGCTGAGCCTTGGGCTGAGGGCTGTGTGCCAGGAAGCCCAACAGTGCTCTAGGATCTCCCTCGAGATCAGCCTTCTTTAGGTGCAGCTGCTCTCTAGGAGGCAGACACATTCATATGCGCATGTACATGTATATATACATGACCATGCAGCTTGTTCTACCCAGAGCCAAATGAAAGGCACTTACTTTGTGCCAGCCTTTCCTGGACATCTCTCAGGGGGAGCAGGACAGACTTTTTTTTTTATTACTGCTATTTTTTTCTTTTTACCATGCCCTGTAGAGTAAACATGGCCAGTGCAGGGTACACAAAATCTGGACCAGTATCTAAAGCACCTGCAAACCAAAAGGGATCTCCTCACCCTGTTGCTGTGGAGGTGACAGTAGCCCATATTTTTACCCAGCCTGGTACTTCTCAGAGAATTGGGAAGGACAGAGGTGGGGTGGGGTGGGGTGGGACAGGAGGGGTGGGGTTTTTACTGTAGTTTACAGGGGGGAGCCAGGTCAGAAACTGGTTTTAGATGAGGGGGGACTCAATCAAACCACTCCTGTCTGCAAAGCTGGTCCTTACATGAAAAATGGTTCACTTGATCTGTCCTAGCATTAGCACAGGAGCTGGGAGGGTCTGTCCAGAGCTAGCTGGCAGCTTTGCCATCCAGGAGACAGAACAAGTAATAAACCATGGCAGGTGGAGGTGGTGGTGTCTCCACTTGGCCAGACTGGATGGGAAAGCTGGGATTGGGAGGGGTGAGAGTGCAGAAAGGAGGAGCAGGCCTTAGGAATCCACTTGCCCTCCTGCCACTGCTGTTCCACCAGCACCCTCTGCTTTCCTCCTGGCCTCAAACTTTTATAACCTCTGAGCTAACATGGCTCCTGGCTCTAGCAAAGGCTGGGTGTATTTATTGTGTTGTGATATTTTTAACATCCTGTGACTTCATGCTAGACACAAGGGGGTTTTTTTAATGGTTTTTAGAACCTTTTTTGTAGGAATGTTTAAATCTGAAGCTGTCTCTGAACTGGTTGTGTTACACCTCTGAATGTCAGTAAAGCTGTTCCAGTTTCATACATGTGGTGTCATGGCTTCATTTTTATTCATATTACCTGTTTCAGTAAAATCTGAGGCCTCTGCTCTGCCCAGCCTGCCTTCCTAAGGACTGTTCAGCACTCCTTACTTCAGCTACCAAAAAGGAAGCCCCTTCGCTGGTAGTCAACATACATTATCAGGGAGGGGGGGTGAACCATTTCAGACTACAAAATTAAATTAGAAAACAGGAAAAATTGCATTTTGAAGTATTTGTATGTCAGTCACAGCTGGTTTATATTAATTCCATAACAGCTACTAGGTCCCAGTTTACAGCAAAACCCTTTGGCATGGCTATCCCAGGGTATGTCCCATAAGCAATATGACAAATATATGAAGCAGTAGCACAGAAAGATGCATATGCTACTGAAGTAGCCTCTAAGCCCAACCCTAGCTCTAGCTGGGCGGAGTGCTGTCTTGTGGAAGTACTGTAGTTTAGCCGTAACTCTCTCAGCTGACCTTTTCAGTAACACAAAACAAAAAAAAATGTAGCTATTGCCTTTGGTCTGTCCCCTCACCTGATGAAGGGTGCATGGAAGATCCCTCTGACAACAAAAGCAGAAGCCCTCTATGAGATGGGCCTGAGCTGAGCAATGTCAGTGTAAGTTTTTGTTACAAAAAAAACCTTTTCCAAGGTCCCAGCTCTATTCCAGCTCAGTGTGGAAGTTGCCTCAGCTTGTTTAAACAGAAAGCATCCAGCTAGAAACTGTTTTTTTCAAATGAGATGAACCTATAAGGGTGTTTGCAGTATAACTGTAACCCAGTGAAACAGGCAGAGAAACAGTATGATTTGCTACACTAAATGCTAGCACTGGAGCGAGGACTGTCTTGAGCAACTGGGACACCCCAGTACTCCCAGCCATTCTCTGCAGTTCCAGTTCCTTCATCAGCTTGTCAAGAGAGACTGTCACAAGCCAAGACCTACATGGTTCTGACCAACACCACCAGTGCATACCGCTGAGATGAAACTTGCAAGTTCTCCCAGGCTTCCCTGGCTGGAGAGACAGGCCTTTGACTATCACTTGCCCTCCACCATCCAGTTCTGCTGCCAGGTCAGGCAAAAGTACATTGAGGCACCTGAAGGGAGGGCAGTGTAGTCAAAACTAACTCCTGGGAAGAAATTACTTCCCTTGTGACATTAAAGAAGGGACAGTCAGTCTTTACAGAGCATGTTTTTAAACCCCACCTTTGTGCAGAGAAGCCCAGTACTGTATCACAGAATGACTTGGGCTGGAAGGGACTGTCAGACCATCCAGTCCAGCTCCCCCTGCCATGGGCAGTAACAGCCTCCACTTGACCAGGTTGCTCAATGCCCCATCCAGCCTGGCCTTGAACACTTTCAGGGATGGGGGCATCCACAACTTCTCTGGACAACCTCCTCCAGTCTCTCACCACCACCCTCATTGTAAAATGTAGTCTATGTCCAACAGTCTAAGTCCTGCCTGTTGTTCTGTCACTACAGGTCCTGGTAAACAGTCTTTCTCCATCTTTCATATAAGCTTCCTTTAAGTACTGAAAGGCTGCAATAATGTCTCCCCAGAGCCTTCTCCAGGCTGAACAACCCCAATTCTCTGCCTGCCTTTGCAGAAGAGGTGTCTCAGCCCTCTGACAGTACAGCCTTTTATCAACCACATTAACTACCCCAGAGCTGGTTTGAGACACCTGCAAAACAATCCTACACTGATGCTGACTTGTTAACTCTCACTGATCTGCTGCAAAGCGCTTTACTACACTGCCATATAAGTCCTCTTCACATACTGCATACAATCTAAAGTGCCATTATTCACCTTCAGACCTGCTGTCACTTTCTTCTCTGTGTGTCACAGTCTCACAGTTGTGAACAGCACAGAAGGAGATGGCTGTAAAGAAAAGCCTTTATTTTAGTAGATCTCACTGAGGCTTATTACTAACAAAACAAATTCAAATAGATGGTCCTAAGACTCTTAACAAGTCCATCTCAAACCTCTTGCCTATGGAAGAGGAATCACTGCTGCAGGCAGGTGCAGGATGCCCAGAACAGCAGTGCAGGGATCTGCTTCTCAGGTACAGCCTGGTCACTCCATAGGCACAGAGTCCAGCTCATTCAGGAAGCGCTGACACTTTCCCATCAGGATCTTGATGGCTTCGCTCACCAGCACATCTGGAGGCAAGATACCCGTCGACTCCACTGAAACTACACAGAGACACAAGTCAGCACAGCCTGCACCTGGCTCCACCATTTCTGTCCCTCGTCTCCCATTCCAGCATACTTCCAACAAGCCAGATCTTCACAGTCAGAGAAGAGGTTACATTTGCTGCAGGAAGCACAAACACATTCAATCTCAAACCAAAACCAAATCATAACCTCAGTGGTTATCCACTGGAACATGAATGCATGAAGGTTGATGATGGAGTTGGAGCAAGGCAGAGACTCAGCTATCCATGCTGGCCAAGTCTCTGCTGCTTTGCACAAACCACAGCAAGGCTCTCTGTTCTGTGGAAAACGGGGCACTTACAGATGTAATGGTTTCGCACTCTTGCCAGGCGCACAAGGTTTTTCAGCCCCTCGTGACGGAAAACTTCTCTGCTGAACGTGTCCAACCGTGCATTGGCTACTCTTGCCATCTTTTTTCCTAAAGGTGAAAAGATGAAACAAGATGGGTGCCTTGTGGTCACAGCAGGTGTTTACCCCTCGAACATGCACTCCCCCAGCAGCAAAGCCACCAATATAAAGAATCAGCACGTCCCCAAGATGACACTCCAACCTGACAGAACCAGTCTTAAAGAACAGTTCCAACCCAAACACAAAGCTTGTCCATGGCCAGGATGCAAGAAGCCTTCTCCACACTCAGGTGCTGGAAAAGGCAAGCTTGCTACCAAGTCTTGCAGACAACTGAACAGCACTGGAAGCTGCAGTCAGCAGCTGCAGAGCTCTGCAGACAGACATCCAATGCTTTCGCATATCAGAGAGATCCCAGTTCATCACCCAACACATCTGCATGTGACAGCCACTCATCCATAAAACCAGGCTCAGAACAGCATGAACAGTTGCTGGTCAGCACACCACCAAAACATGGTTTTATCTCTACACGGTTTGGTCTCTTATCAATCTCTGCTAAGGCTTGTAAAGAAAAAGGCGCTTTAGAGCAGGAAAAACATACCTTTCACATTCTGGATCTCAATTACTCCCGGGGAAAAGCACTTCTGCAACATCTCGGCTGCCTCATCCTCAATAGGCTGCAGGAGAGTAATGTCAGGAAGCAGTCGATAACTAGCCGTGGCCACAGGAGAAAACTTGGCATGATCTTTACCTGCACGAAGAGTTAAGAGGCAAGGATGAGGGCAGGCCTCGGGAACGAGAATGCAAGGACATCGGGGCCTAAAGTTCCAGGGGGAAAGCCAGTTCTCCAGCCATCTCCTTCACACAGCTATGCCCTAACCCAAGCACTCACGCTCCTCCCGCTGTTCCAGGACCCACGACTCACCAATACCCTTGACACAGTGCATGAGCACATCTATTTCCTGGCCAGGTCGCAACAGTGCAATGAGGACGTCATCGTGAACAGGTTGGAAGTCAGCATCTGGAAAAAGGTCTGTCTGATTCCCCAAGGGCACCCATGTCATGTGTTTACTGTACACTGTGAAGAGAAGCCACAAGGATCAGACAGCTGCTGTCTCAAAACAGGTTGCTGATCTGTACAGGACTGGAAATGGCAAAATACAAGTTTAACAGAATGAGGGAATCGGCTCTCTCTGCTCACAGGCCTGAGAGAACAGATCAAATCCTGTCTCCCAAGACCAAAAAAGACAGAAAAAGCACCTATTTTTAGGAGAGGTCTCACCTTTGTGATTTAAATATAGTTCATTAGGATCAGATGAATCCTTGGCTGCCTGAGGGTTTCGGCTGCATTTTATTTTCAGCTGGAACTGCAGAGTATCAATTTCTGTGCCTTCCTCATCTCCTGAGAAGGGGAGAACAGCATGAGCCTCTACAGAATCACACTTCTGCTCAGTTTACAATACCCCAGTTTCCTGCTTTGCGGGAAACCTTGACTATTTCTATTTGACCCAAGACTCTCACCTTGGTTTCTATATTCGAAGAGCCGTGGGTCAGCTCGTATAGGGATAAGGCCCAAGCGATGAGCCAGAATTTCATCCTGCACGATGGATGTGTTGTTGTACACAAAGACTTTCTCTACAGCCATTGTTGGCACCTCAGGGAGACAAGAGATCAAGTCAGCATAAGACAACAGTTGAACTACATGCTAACAGAACATCCTGCTAAAGCATCCCTTCTCTCCCATAAATAATTGCCCTGCAGGCTATTTTCAGTGCTATTTCTGCCAAACCTGGCTACCCTTACACCAAAGATACCCCTTTCTCTGTTATTTTTTAAAATAAATTATCACAGGAAGTGACGGGCAGGTTGATCCACAGACACTACCAACAGAACCCTTAAGAAATAAAGCGCTCACGCTGCTGAGGCCCTAACTCTCTGGCATCCTGGCACAACCTCCAAACCCAGAAGCTGCCTGCAAGGGCTGACATAAGGCAGGGGACCACCCCGCTCCCAGGCTGGCACCCCCCGGGCCTCGCCTGCAGCCCCCCGGTCCCTGCCCGTCCCATGTCCGTCCCCCCGCACCGGGCCCGCAGCGGTACCTCGGCGAGCAGGATGCGGCGGAAGGCGTTGGCGATGGCGGCGTCGATGCCCACCATGTCGAACTCCAGGGCTCCCCCCTCCTCCTCG